GTATACTGTATCATTATTGTATTTGCCCAATAAATTATCTTGTAACACTTATAGACCTTTCGAATCTCCTATTCCTTCCTATATCTCCACCACTCTCCTCCTAGTATATCCTTAAAAACTAAGTTTTAAAAATGTATTTTGGAAAAAGAAAAGTCCAAAGTGGTAGCGCATGTAACATACCACACGTATATTATATTGTAGTGATATATTGTTAATATATCTCTAATGGCATTGATATTACTAATCTTTCGCGGACTATATATGTACATCTGTACTTTGTATACTGTATCATTATTGCATTTGTTGAATAAATTATCTTGTAACACTTATACACGTTGTTATTATTTTGCCCTATGCGAATATCCCAGAGTACGAATGAGTTTTGTCTCTCTCTTACTCTCCTCCGTCCTAACTGCATCCTTTACCTACTCCTAATATGGTTTGAAATTCAATTCTCGAAATTGAACCTCTGGGAGGCTGTATCTCGAAAACGGCTGGGTTTAAGACTTTTTCAGCAAAGTCAGAATGGTCCATAGAAAAGGCTGGTACAGGATAGATTGCGATAGGGCCACTTTCAAAAAGTTGCTTTACTTTTTGGTACTCGCACACTTTTTTTTGAATTTTGAAATTATCAAGCATTCATAGTAAATAATTTCCATTAGTTCGAATTTTCGCCGATAAGAGGGCAGCACCTCCTGGGCATGATATGTGGCGCCATCTCTGAGAGAACGAGTGAACTTTCTCCAATAAGATAATTCCAAAAGTAATTCGAAAATCAGCTATATCACGCTGGCACAGATAAAACAACGATAGGGCACTTTCAAAAAATCCCTTTACTTTTTGCAACTTGCTGAGTGAATGGAAGTAATGATAGAGAAAATAGAGCATATTATATGCTCGACCCGACCAAAAGAATAGGACAAGTAACACAAGCACAATGGAAAGTGAGAGGGAATAGAATGAAACGAGAAGACAGAAGGGAAGATAGTAATAAAGAAGTTAAGAAATAGAAAAGTAAGGAATATAAAAGTAGAGAAGAAATGAAAAAAGAGATAAATCAGAAAGTAAAGAATGACAGATAAAGAAATTAGGAAGGAATAGGAGATTCGAAAAGTGTATAAGTGTTACAAGATAATTTATTCGACAAATGCAATAATGATACAGTATACATATACAGTATATGGCTTGCGAAAGATTATCAATAACAGTATCATTAGAGATATAGCAGATAAAGAAATTTGAATGTAAAGAAGAAATAAATATAGAAAGAGAAGAATGTTGAAAATGAATAAGAGAAATGATTCCAAGAGACCAGTATAGGAGACCGGCTGGAGGAAGAATGAATGCTCGAAGTCCGGGCGCTGCCTCCAGCGCTCACCCCCACTCTCCGCCTTCGCCCACTCTCAGAGTCCTGCCGCGACGAATTTGCGCGCATACAATTTTGGGCAACTTCCAGTAATTTCTAAATATGCTTGGCCTGAATTTCCGATTTCTGAGTGTTAATAGTTTACTTTATTAATTTAATTAAGGGAAGATATTGTTGAAGGGAAAAAGAGGAAGATTGTTAGAAAGAAAGAGTGAAGAAGAGTGATGGTGAGGATTGAAGGAACGAGGGGAGAAAAAGGTGCGTAAAACGTATGCACGAGGACCAGATTATTCGGGATTAGCGACAAAAAAGAAGACTCGAATAAGTAGGAAAAGTAGGAAGTTAAGGGAGTGAAATGGGCCCCTCCCCGCCCATTTCCGTGAGGTCCTGCCTCTCCTTAAGGGAGCTACGACCCCTCCGAGGCCCCATAGGGGACCGTGTTTTTTTTTGTTTTTTTATTGAGGAAAACCCCCGAGTCCTGCGGCTTTCGCGCACAGGACTAGGGGGGAAAAACCTCAGGAAGGAAAGGAAGTCGGGTCGAGGGACAAGAAAAACGCACAAGGGGATAAGGTGAAGTTAAACGCGAAAAAGTTAAGACAAGTTAAACGCAAAAGGGACAAGTTAAACGCGAAAGGTCTACCCCTAGTCAAGATTCACCGCAACGAAAGACCGCGGGCGTAGCACCCGGCGGTACCCTTGCGGGCACGCCAGGACATCCCGAAGGACGATATTTAACGCTACAACCTCCGTCCCTTCCCACGGGCAAGCCCAGTGGGTTAGACGTAAGGAACCACGCCCGCCGCCGGCGGCGGGCCCCGTTAGCCATCGATCCCCGCGCAAAATGTCTCCGACAGAGGGTGACTTTATACTAGCGGGTGCTCAATAGCACCCGCACCTACCCCAAGTGAAGTGACCCCCAAGCACAAGCACAAATAGGACTTTACCCAAAGTCAACGGACTACCCCTCCGACCTCCCCAAGC